ACTACTACTACTACTACTACTACTACTACTACTACTACTACTACTACTACTACAAGATAGCATTTGTATAGCACTAATCCCCGCTCAATAGCAAGCTCTATGCGTTTCACAATCTATACTAATTATTACCCCAGCAGACCTGAGAGCATTCTGAAACAACCTCAACTTCCTGGGAAGCATACAGTGCAAGTGGAACATTTATTGGCGCTAAAACACTAACATACTGGCAAGATCTTTCCCTGTCTATGGCCGGGTACCCATTCCCACCTGGGTGAAGTGAGGAAAATTCGTGCAAAGTGCCTTTCCAAGGACACAATGTTGGGCCCGCGACTCGAACCCACGAACCCGCAACCTCACGATTACAAGTCTGGTAGCCTAACCACTTGACCACCGACACCACTACGGGCTTACCAGATAAAATATCTTCCTGAGACAGGACAGGACCCCCTTTCTCTACTTCTAGCTCTGAACATCATCAGAGATTTAATCTTTACAAGTTATCTTTTATGGAAGCTTTAAAAAATAATTCTAAAGACAATGACCTAAAGAGAGACAGAAAAGAAAAGACGACTTTCCAATTTCCCAGGCCGTTATTCTTAAAACATCACAGGATGAATATGAAGCAATAAAGACACCCAGACCCCCCCACACACACACACACACACACACACACACACACACACACACACACACAAAGTGGTCTAGACGTGGGTTTAGGCCCTGGGTCTAGCCCACAGAATTCTACGCTAGTGTAGAATTCTGTGGTCTAGCCTCAGGTCTGACCTCGGGTTTCGCCCCGAACCACTACAACCGTAGACAATCGATAAGTCGTGTGTGGCTCATTTCATGAGGCCTGACGCGGGGCCAGGAAGGCTGCACCAAATATTAATAATATTATTTTTCCTTTGACCCCAGGTACCGAGGCTGGAGTCGAGGATAATTTTTAAAAAATCATTTAAAAAATGGAACTCTGAGTTCAGATTCGCAAGTAGCGTTAGATTTTTTTAAAAAATGAACCTCTGAGTTCAGATTCGCAAGTAGCGTTAGATTTGATTTTTTTTATATAGTAGAGGGTTTTACGGCGCTCGCAACTGCATAAGGTCATATGAGCGCCAAGGGGTGGGTGTCAACAGAGAAGTCTTTACAGGGAATCAGACTTAGACTGCTCACCTCTCTAGCTTCAACAGCATAAGGTTTGCTTCGACTATCAAGGCACCCTGGAAATAGCAGGTCACA